GTAGTGCCTCTACTTTAAAGAGTCCTCTCCTGCTGATGTTCAGGTGTATATCAGTGTGTAGTGTCTCTACTATAAAGAGTCCTCTCCTGCTGATATTCAGGTGTATATCAGTATGTAGTGTCTCTACTTTAAAGAGTCCTCTCCTGCTGATGTTCAGGTGTATATCAGTATGTAGTGCCTCTACTTTAAAGAGTCCTCTCCTGATGATGTTCAGGTGTATATCAGTATGTAGTGCCTCTACTTTAAAGAGTCCTCTCCTGCTGATGTTCAGGTGATATCAGTATGTGTGTCTCTACTTTAAAGAGTCCTCTCCTGCTGATGTTCAGGTGTATATCAGTATGTAGTGTCTCTACTTTAAAGAGTCCTCTCCTGCTGATGTTCAGGTGTATATCAGTATGTAGTGTCTCTACTTTAAAGAGTCCTCTCTGCTGATGTTCAGGTGTATATCAGTATGTAGTGTCTCTACTTTAAAGAGTCCTCTCCTGCTGATGTTCAGGTGTATATCAGTATGTAGTGTCTACTTTAAAGAGTCCTCTCCTGCTGATGTTCAGGTGTATATCAGTATGTAGTGTCTCTACTTTAAAGAGTCTCTCTCCTGCTGATGTTCAGGTGTATATCAGTATGTAGTGTCTCTACTTAAAGAGTCCTCTCCTGCTGATGTTCAGGTGTATATCAGTATGTAGTGTCTTTTTAAAGAGTCCTCCTGCTGATGATCAGGTGTATATCAGTATGTAGTGTCTCTACTTTAAAGAGTCCTCTCCTGCTGATGTTCAGGTGTATATCAGTATGTAGTGTCTCTACTTTAAAGAGTACTCTCCTGCTGATGTTCAGGTGTATATCAGTATGTAGTGTTTCTACTTTAAAGAGTACTCTCCTGCTGATGTTCAGGTGTATATCAGTTTTGTAGTGTCTCTACTTAAAGAGTCCTCTCCTGCTGATGATCAGGTGATATCAGTATGTAGTGTCTCTACTTTAAAGAGTCCTCTCCTGCTGATGTTTCAGGTGTATATCAGTATGTAGTGTCTCTACTTTAAAGAGTCCTCTCCTGCTGATGTTCAGGGTATATCAGTATGTAGTGTCTCTACTTTAAAGAGTCCTCTCCTGCTGATGTTCAGGTGTATTATCAGTATGTAGTGTCTCTACTTTAAAGAGTCCTCTCCTGCTGATGTTCAGGTGTATATCAGTATGGTAGTGTCTCTACTTTAAAGAGTCCTCTCCTGCTGATGTTCAGGTGTATATCAGTATGTAGTGTCTCTACTTTAAAGAGTCTCTCCTGTTGATGTTCAGGGTATATCAGTATGTAGTGTCTCTACTTAAAGAGTCCTCTCCTGTTGATGTTCAGGTGTATATCAGTATGTAGTGTCTCTACTTTAAAGAGTCCTCTCCTGCTGATGTTCAGGTGTTATATCAGTATGTAGTGCCTCTACTTTAAAGAGTCCTCTCCTGCTGATGTTCAGGTGTATATCAGTATGTAGTGCCTCTACTTTAAAGAGTCCTCTCCTTGCTGTGTTCAGGTGTATATCAGTATGTAGTGTCCTCTACTTAAAGAGTCCTCTCCTGCTTGATGTTCATCAGGTGTATATCGATATGGTAATGTGTCTCTACTTATAAAGAGTCCTCTCCTGCTGATATTCAGGTGTATATCAGTATGTAGTGTCTCTACTTTAAAGAGTCCTCTCCTGCTGATGTTCAGGTGTATATCAGTATGTAGTGTCCTCTACTTTATAAGCGTTCCTCTCCTGCTGATGTTCAGGTTGTAATATCAGTGTGTAGTGTCTCTACTATAAAGAGTCCTCTCCTGCTGATATTCAGGTGTATATCAGTATGGTAGTGTCTCTACTTTAAAGAGTCCTCTCCATGCTGATGTTCAGGTGTGTATATCAGTATGTAGTGCCTCTACTTTAAAGAGTCCTCTCCTGATGATGTTCAGGTGTATATCAGTATGTAGTGCCTCTACTTTAAAGAGTCCTCTCCTGCTGATGTTCAGGTGTATATCAGTATGTAGTGTCTCTACTTTAAAGAGTCCTCTCCTGCTGATGTTTCAGGTGTATATCAGTATGTAGTGTCTCTACTTAAAGAGTCCTCTCCTGCTGATGTTCAGGTGTATATCAGTATGTAGTGTCTCTACTTTAAAGAGTCCTCTCCTGCTGATGTTCAGGTGTATATCAGTATGTAGTGTCTCTACTTTAAAGAGTCCTCTCCTGCTGATGTTCAGGTGTATATCAGTATGTAGTGTCTCTACTTTAAAGAGTCCTCTCCTGCTGATGTTCAGGTGTATATCAGTATGTAGTGTCTCTACTTTAAAGAGTCCTCTCCTGCTGATGTTCAGGTGTATATCAGTATGTAGTGTCTCTACTTTAAAGAGTCCTCTCCTGCTGATGTTCAGGTGTATATCAGTATGTAGTGTCTCTACTTTAAAGAGTCCTCTCCTGCTGATGATCAGGTGTATATCAGTATGTAGTGTCTCTACTTTAAAGAGTCCTCTCCTGCTGATGTTCAGGTGTATATCAGTATGTAGTGTCTCTACTTTAAAGAGTACTCTCCTGCTGATGTTCAGGTGTATATCAGTATGTAGTGTTTCTACTTTAAAGAGTACTCTCCTGCTGATGTTCAGGTGTATATCAGTATGTAGTGTCTCTACTTTAAAGAGTCCTCTCCTGCTGATGATCAGGTGTATATCAGTATGTAGTGTCTCTACTTTAAAGAGTCCTCTCCTGCTGATGTTCAAGTGTATATCAGTATGTAGTGTCTCTACTTTAAAGAGTACTCTCCTGCTGATGTTCAGGTGTATATCAGTATGTAGTGTTTCTACTTTAAAGAGTACTCTCCTGCTGATGTTCAGGTGTATATCAGTATGTAGTGTCTCTACTTTAAAGAGTCCTCTCCAGCTGATGTTCAGGTGTATATCAGTGTGTAGTGTCTCTACTTTAAAGAGTCCTCTCCTGCTGATGTTCAGGTGTATATCAGTATGTAGTGTCTCTACTTTAAAGAGTCCTCTCCTGCTGATGTTCAGGTGTATATCAGTATGTAGTGTCTCTACTTTAAAGAGTCCTCTCCTGCTGATGTTCAGGTGTATATCAGTATGTAGTGTCTCTACTTTAAAGAGTCCTCTCCTGCTGATGTTCAGGTGTATATCAGTATGTAGTGTCTCTACTTTAAAGAGTCCTCTCCTGCTGATGTTCAGGTGTATATCAGTATGTAGTGTCTCTACTTTAAAGAGTCCTCTCCTGCTGATGTTCAGGTGTATATCAGTATGTAGTGTCTCTACTTTAAAGAGTCCTCTGTCTGTTTCTCTGCAGCTAAGAAGATGATGAGTCTGGTGAGCGGTCGTGGTGACTTAGAATCAGCTTCCTCCTCGTCTTCATCGCTCAGCCTGAGACTCAAGAAGAGCAAAAGGAAACTGTACAGACCTGAGATCTCCACCCCGATTGACATGCCCTCCCATCCAGTAAGAGTCATTGGTCTTCAGCTCATCATGACACACACATTCTGAGACTAAAGTCAGAATTCTGATAATTTTCCTCAGAATTCAGAGAATAAATGTTTAATTTCAATTTCATATTTTTATTCTGAAAATCTCTGAATTCTGAGACTTTAGTTCAAATGCAGTTTGTTTTTTTCTGGGTTTTATTCTGAAATATAAACATTTCTCAAATACATTTTTATTCAATTTCTGTTTTTTTCTTATTTCATTTCTGAATACTGAAAATGAATTAAATCTGATTTATTTTTTATGAATTCTGACTTTAATCAGAAAGAAAGAAAAAATCCAGAATTAAATTTTTCTGGATGAAAATCCCACAATTCCGAAACAATTAATATTTATTTTTAATGAAATATATATTTTGTTCTTTCGGAAAATACCAGTAACATTTAAATATGGGGTGGACTGTCCCGTGTAGCAACATATTATGCTACTGTGTGCCGGTTATATTTAATGCTGTGTCTCTACCAGCCGCAAAGTCTTTTAGTTTTTCAACTTTCATTCCCTTTCTCCTGGACCTTCCGTCAATCCCACGCCACTTCCTACTCTGCGTCGTGATGAGATTCACTGACAGTCAATAGAGAATCAACGGGCTTCACGGTTCATTTTGTGTGTTTTTAAAATGTTCCAAAAAGATTCCCAACGTCGCAATAGAGTGGTGCCGTGACGAGTCCTGAAACCAGGAAGTTAGTTAGCATCTCTCCACTTCCTTTTCCCTCGTCTCTGAGCCAATAGGATCTCTCCATCTGATTTTGGAAAACATCTGGAACTAAGCTCTGTGGTTGAGACACATTGAAGAGACGGATCACGTTTTGTTCTAGGACATTAAATCATCAGCTGGTGATTTCTGAAGAGTTGACGTGTCTGAAAAACGATGGTTGTTACAGGGGGTCCGGGGGTCTTAAAAAGTGTTAAAAGTTGATAAATCAATTTAGCGAAAATTAAGGCTATTAAAAAGTATTAAACGGCATTTTCCAAGGTATTAAGAAGGTCCACAGCAACGACAACATGAAACACCCTTTAATTTACTGAAACAACATGTCGGGAAACCCCTCAAGGTGGCCCCATGCATAGCGTGCCATAAAATGCTGCTTCTTATTTTTAGGGTGCGTTCACACCAGCCTTGTATAGTCCGGTTGAATCGAACCCTGGTGCGTTTAGCCGCTTGGTGCGGTTCCTTTGGGTCGGTGTGAACGCAATCCAAGACCTCTAAAGTGAACTAAACAACCGGACTCTGGTCCGCTAAAATAGGTGGTCTCGGAGCGCTTGATTGTGAACTCTGGAGCGGTTCATTGCTGGTGTGAACGCAGTCCGCACCGAAACATAGGAAGCGTAGTATTTACGTGTCACAAGAACGCGGATATCTTCATTTCTTTAGCGAAAGAGTCTTTCAAGACATCCGCGGTTGTTTAGTTAAAGAGTGAAGCAGAATGAAGTGTTGAACAGTGTCGTGTAAAGTAACAATTCTCCGTCAGCTACATAAAAGTAAGAACACCTGTCGTCGGTGGAACCCCCTCCTGACTGCAGAACGTCTCTCATGTGTTATCATGTGTTTTAACGGACGTTGTCTGATTATATAATCATGTGCGCGGGCCGCTAGAGTCTGTTGATCTCCAGACTAACAGCAGCATGAGAATAACCTGCCGAAAGTGCCGATGCTCCATGGCGGAGGCTCCGGTAGAAATGGCCGGGATTTGCGTTTTTAATGTCTGACCAATGGGTGAACAGCATTTCCGTGCACATGACTTGTGTTTAAGTTTATAGTCCGTTTGAGTTTTGCCCGTGAGAACGCAAACCGAACCTTCTGAGAAATGAAACAATGTAACAAACTGGTGCGCACCAGAAAACGGACTATTAGGTGTGAATGCACCCTAAGTTTCGTTGCCTTGCTCCGCTCTGTGGGGGGGGGGACGGGTGGGGGACGGGGGGGACTACCTGAGAGATATACAGCAGGAGAACACGCCGTCCACCGCGGAGAATAAACAGAAGGGCAACCATGACAACCATGCTCCGGGGTCTTCTTCGCTGCTTTTGGTGTATTTTGTGGCGGCAGCAGCGCCACTTACAGGCCTGGCATATGCACTACAGCGTTTCCAGCATTTCCAGCGGTCTAGTGTGAACGGACGCGTTAATGAATCGAATGCGTGTGAACGGAAGACTTTTTTGCGTTTGCGTTTTACTGTATGCCGGGGTCTAAGCCAAACTATATCCGGTCACAGAGATCTGCTATTTTAAAGTAAGGTCGACCCTAAATATAGTCTATATTAAGAACGAGAAAAGTCTTAACATATATATCGTTTTTTGTAAACATATGACAAATGTGTGAGGGTGATGACGTCAGAGCATCGTCCTACGTGCCGGGCTGAGCCCCGACAGCCCCAGCCCAATTGAACCCCTGGGTATTTGTGAGGGAGCTCCTATATGGCATTACCCCGCTGAAGCTCACCAACGTTTCATATATTTCATAGTTCAAAGTTTTGTCAATAGTTTTGTTTATTGGTCAAATCCTGGTTTCTGAGGAGTTCTACTGGAATGAAAGAGCACAGAGTACAGAAGCAACAAAGCAGCATCCTGCATTAAACCTGACCTTCACAGAGAGTTCATGTGGAGAGGAGGCTTCAGTCGTCTGTCTGCACTCTGTTTAGTTGTGCTATCTTACAATCAATATAGTCAATGTGAGGTAAAGTGTGTCGCCAATGTAACCGGTTAGAGCTCGAAGTTCCGATGAGGTCTTAAAATGTCTGGAAAAGGTCTTAAAAAAGGTCTTCAAAGGAATTGAATTTGACTTCAGGATTCCTGCACATACCCTGTGTTACCTATGGGCTCAGAACAGTCTCATAATACACACATACACAGAGAAGGATCCACACTTGTGTTTTTCAAAGCACACACAAATGTGTTCCGTTTCATATTCATGTAAATAAAATCCAAACACAGAAAAAAGTTTTACATGTGTATTTTTGATCCTCACTTATTAGTTTTCCGTTTGAATCTCTGAACCTGCAAACACAACCCGCTCTCTGTGCACGGATCGCTTTGCATTTGTGTGTGGGTTTTTTTAGACTCCCCTGACGGTCACCCGATTCGTACTTGTAATTTCTCTCATCTATAGCCAATCAGATGTCTCCTCCAGTCTAAGCCAATCACATGAGCGCACCCCCACGAGGGTATGATTTATTGCGTTCATGACACTTCATATACGCATTTTGCGCAGTCCGGTCAGCTCGCTAAACAGAGGGCGGGGCTTCAGGTGATCATGCAGAGCAGCGTGTCTCGGTCTCACTCAGCAGCTGATCTGATCTCTCTCTCGCGTGTCCGGTTACACTTCACTCGCGTTTATGTCCATATCGATCAGATCCAGCTCTCCTGATCGGCCTTTATAGAGAGCACCGATCAAACTATTAAGAGTGAATATCGGCCGATAATGACGGGCGGGGCTCCGAATAGGACTACAGAAGCTGTGGAGGTCGTTGTACGTCATTACGCCGAACACGTGAACACTCCTCTAAGTTAGTTTCTGTTCTGCTTGAGAGCAAGTCCCTGCCTCCTGCAGACTGTTCAAACAAACGCTTCAACTCGTACCATCTAGAATCTGTGTGTTTGAATCTGGATCTGAAGTCGGCGTGAAGTTGAAGTCGAGCTGCTGGACTCGCCTGTAGCTCCTTTATAGCATAACGTTAGCATTTAGCTTCTGGACGTTAGAGTTATAATTAGAACATTATAAAAGTAGACATGTGGAGATTATCCGGCTGAACAAAACGTGCATTCATCGAACAGGTTCGTTTCCCACAGACATTATTTCCAGCTCTTTTTCTAAATCCTGGAGAAACCCTTTGCTTTTTAGTCGAGGGAACAGCCGCTTCCTTCAGGGTGAATACATCATCCCTGCACCGCTCTATTATTCCATTTGAATAGTTGATTGCTCGCCGTGATAAGCCCACCAGTCGTGTGTGTCTCTGTGTTCATAGACCTACAGTTTGATCACAAAACACACTTTTAACCTTCCTTTCCTCTTCACAGATAATCAGCAGAAGGTCGGAGGAGAAAGAGAGCGACCATCAGATCATCAAGAGACGTCTTCGCACGCGGACGCCTAAACATTGAGCCTCCTTATGTACTCACACTCTGACCAGATGAAGGAAGCATTAGGCTATCTTCTTAATTTATATTTAATCTAAAAAGCGCATATTTGAATAGTTAAATAGGGAGGTTTTAGAAGAGGTAGAATCACTAACTGGTTATAAGGTTAAAGAATGTTCTCACTGATGACGATGTTTTACAGAATGCTGGTTTATTTCTTTACACTACTTATAAGGAATTCTACAAAAGATGCTTTTTTGTTTGCCATCAAATGACTCCAGAATCCCACTGTGTATATCCACTGTTTATCATTTACACCTTTCTCTTAACTCTTATGTGCAATTGTCTTATCCTAATGTGTGGTTATGCTGGAGTCGAGTTGCTTTTTGTTAGGTTCCTTCAAACCTTACTGAATGCTTCTGTGACACGTCACTGATTTTACTTTCTAGAATAATCAAAGCTGCTCTTAGAGCTCCGGGAAGTTCACATTGTTTAACGTTTATCCCATCGGTTTAGATAAGACGTTTATAGAAGAGGATTAAGGCCACATTTTTTTTTAGATCTGACCAAAAGTGAATTCTGGAAAAAGTCAGATTTCTTTTTCTAAGAATTGAGAAAAGTAACTCAGATTTAAAGTCGAAATGTTTCCTTTTTTTTCAAATGTTCTTTTTGTATAACCGTTCATATAGGACGTTGTTTTGAAACCCAACACTCTTGATTTTGTCTCGGAATTCAAATTAGAATCTAAAAATTCAGTGACTTTTTTCTCAGATCTGAGAAAAAAGTCACTGTCGGATATAAAAAAAATCCACATCTGGCTCTTCCGTTTAAGTTAGATATTCGAGACGCTGTATTATATTTTGTATCTATCTGTACATCAACACGACTAACTGAACTCTCACTGCACTTTATTCTTTATTTCTAACAATCTTAGCCCTGAACCAGGAATCCTCTGTTTTACTGAAACTCGTTTCTTCAGCTTTAGAGCGTGTTTTTGTTTCTCGCTGAAGGACAGCCGAGAGTTCCTGAGGTTCATCACAACATGCCGTCTGAAATTGTGCACTTTTCTCTTGATTATTATTGTTATCATGTTTTCCTCCTTTTTGAAACCTTGTTCTCAAAGTCTTATCAGTCATTAAAATACGAGACTGCTTCTAATATATCTGCGTTTGTTTCTTTATTGCCAAGTCATCAAATAATTATTGTTTTGTACACACACACATTATTATCCCACTATTCGATAACACTAGTTTCTAGAAAGATATAGTTTGAGTACTGAAGCACTGATTTATAAGATATATCAGAAAAAATGACGCCTGTATACAGGGCCGGGTTCTGGCAGAGGCGGTTGGGGCTCATCCTAATGTTCGGCCTTGATGTAACAACATTCATAATTAAGTCAAGGTAACACCCTTTTCACCCCGGTTACACGTTTCATTTGCCCCGTACGGTGGGCGCTGTAAGGGATGAAAGTGGGGGGTGTGGTGGCGAAGTCCATAGGGACTTGGCTTGGCAACTGGAAGGTCACCAGTTCAAGACCAAGTGCTACCGAGGTGTCCCTGAGCAAGGCACCGTCCCCTACACCGCTCCCCGGGCGCCGTTCAAAATGGCAGCACACTGCTCCTAACACTACGATGGGTCAATTGCAGAGAAACAATTTCCCCACGAGGGATTAATAAAGTATATCAATATCATGTTGGCGTATCAGGTGCCCTCAGCTCGGAGCCAAAGTGTGCGTGAGAGTGGGAGCGGGAGAGAGAGAGGGTACATTGGTACCGGCGCTGTTGTTATTAGTAGCACTTGAAATGTTTGGCTCTATGAAACCTGATGTACTTTATGATTCCGTTTTCTTCAAGGTTGTGTCTTCCTGGTCGAATGTACTTATTGTAAGTCGCTTTGGATAAAAGCGTCAGCTAAATGCAATGTAATTAATTATTAGCACCTGGTGCTAGCTGCGCTAACGGATATAAGAAGATGTTTCTACAACCAGGGTGGAGGAGAGCTCTCCTGTCAGACTGAGAGGCTCAGTGAGGTAAAGGACTCTCTGTTCACTTTAGTCCAAGTTATCTCAGTGGGTCTCAAACGTTTTGACCACACAATTTATGTAAACAAATATTTCCAAGGCACTCCTTTATAATCATCGCCAGCTAAATCTCGCCTAGAGCAGCAAATTGTCTAGAACCGGCCCTGCCTGTAAGATGGTGCCGCAGATGAGTTACAAGCAACCAAAAATAAACAAAAATAATTTGCTAAATTAATAACATCTTTCTTAAATATTGTTTTAATATGTAGAATAAAATGCAAAAATAAACAAAGACTTGAAATAAAATTACCCCAAAAATATGTGTTTAATAAAATAATGTTAACAAATCTAAAATAAATTAAAGTAAAAAGAATTTACAAAAATAATGAAATATATAGAAGTAAAATTAACAAAATAAAAATATGTACACATACATAATAAGTTAGATTACACAGACCAATGTACTGCTAATAACAAATATACTGCACAAGGGTTTTTAGTAGGAGGTGATACTGTGGCGCTGATTTTGTTTGTAAGATAAATCAACATGACGTAAACAACAACGTGACGTCGGAGCTCCGTAAAACAAAGCCGTCTGACGCTTTGTTTGATGCTCAGATTTCTGGAGTCATTATACCGTTTTTGACGAACATGAAATATTGTGCTCTGGCATCACTTTCACATTTTACGGGGGAAATCTGCATTTTGGTTTGAGGGCGGAGCGCTCCTGTTACAATGTGTTTAGTTTGTTCCTTTAATCTTCAACGTTTATTCAATAATTCAAATCAAAAGTTAGACACACAAATTACAATCTGTTAGGTAACACGTTCAGATGATTTCCCCGTCGTGAGCAGATTTAGAGCAAAAATAAAAACACATTTTTCAAATGTTAGGCTGCTTATTGGAATGTACCTCAACATATTTGAAAAGAATGGATGAGAAATCTAGTTCTGTCTCATTGAGTTCACAGCATCTGGAAGACTGTCTCACTGATTAAAAGATAACATCACAAGATCTTAATGAAGCAAGTTCATCCAGGAAGACCGTCTTTATTCTGTCGTTCACATATTTCCATCTCACGGTAGTTATGGTAGGTACGTCGGTAGTTATAAAACTGCAAAATCGTCTGGAGCTCAATGACCTCCATGGCCGTAATCTTTAAATCTGCCTCACAGCTAATGATCAGTATTAGTCAGAGCTGCGACTCCACCTACCAAGAACACCATTTCAATTATATTACATCTAATGATATGTTCAGTCAGCTCACCATGGCTGTTCTCCCACTGACGAGTTAACTCTAGAGAAGCTTCGGAGTACTCAGAGAGAGAGAGAGAGTGTGTGTGTGTGTGTGTGTGTGTGTGTGTGTGTGTGTGTGTGTGTGTGTGTGTGTGTGTGTGTGTGTGTGTGTGTGTGTGTGTGTGTGTGTGTGTGTGTGTGTGTGTGTGTGTGTGTGTGTGTGTGTGTGTGTGTGTGGTGTGTGTGTGTGTGTGTGTGTGTGTGTGTTGAACCCGCTCTGAGTGGGGACCCTGAACGCCTCACCAAAGCTCAGAGGTGAGATGAAGACCTCTGACTGTCCTCTTCTCCAGAGCTCAGCAGGCATTATTCACACTCAAAGCTCTCCATCTTTCACAGAAAACAGCCTTTGCTCCGCCTCCGCGCTCTGAAACGCTTCCAGAGTTGAAATAAAAAAGTGCAGTTTTATCTGAATCTGAAGCCTCTCGTCTTTGTTCTGTGAGCTTTCTGTTATATTCTCTCCTCATTTGCTCTCCGAGGTCTCTCAGTCCTCTCCTGTCTGTGGATTAAAGTCTCTGCATTACATTAATGCACACAACGTTTACAATTATTTTGTTTTTATTACTGCACATATTTTATTCCAATTCTATTTCTACGATTTCAATCATATTCAATGTAAATACTGCTATATTTGTGTATATTTGTTTGTGTTATAATCAAATCAAGTTTTATTTATAAAGCACATTTGAGAGCGATTTTTGACCGAGCCAAAGTGCAATAAAAACACATTACTACAACACAATAAAAGACAATTATTTACAACAGAAATATAAAAAATAAAAACACATGGAAAAGTCAGGAGTCGTGCTCCGCTCTGACTAGAAGGCCAGGGAGAAGAAGTGAGTCTTTAGTGAGGATTTAAAAACCCCCAGGGTCTGGGCCGACCTCACGTGGAGGGGCAGAGTGTTCCAGAGCCTGGGGCCAGCTGCTGCGGAGGCTCGGTGCCCTCGGGTTTTGAGCCTGGTCTTGGGCACTACCAGCAGCAGCTGGTCAGCAGACCTTAAAGCTCTTGCTGGGGTGTAGCGCTGGAGGAGTTCGGCTACATAGGAGGAGCCAGCCCATTTAGGGCTTTGAAAACAAATAAAAGGATTTTAAAATCTATTCTGAACCGAACTGGAAGCAAGTTATTAATTATAGTTTCTTCAAATCGTTTTCTATCTATGTTTTTCATGTTATAATGTGTTTACGCTGCACTATTTCTTAATAAAATAAGAGGTACTTTATTGGAGACTGCAGATTGGTCATAAACCCTAAAGCCGATAACCTTTGTGTTCGTCTGGATGCATATTGAAGCTATTTTAAATAATCAGAAGTCCTGGAGATATTGCTGTAGTGATGAAGACCTCTGTGAACATGAAGCCCTGCAGTGAGACTATTGATTCTCCAGTCTGCTCACCTTGCCCCTCTTTAGTCTGTATTTCATTACTGCAGAGCTCACTTTGTTTTTCCCCTTAAGACATCTTCAATTTGCAGATCATTTAAAATGCAAAAGCTCATTAAGAGATGAAATCTGCAGCATGTGCTAAACTCAAACAGACGTATAGTTATAGTTTAGGAAGTTTCTAGTCAACAAATCCCCTGAAAAGAGCCAACAATCTCTCTCTATCTTCACTTTGTCTTTCATTGAAGAACAGCTTCACTAATATATAGTTAAACACCTTTTAAAAAGACGTGTAATTTCCTGAAACAGCTGGTTAATGTCATTTGTTTTAATGTTATTCCAACAGGACTAAAATATGTATTATGTTACCATAACTGGGGCGAAGCCTGCGAGCGAGTTCAGGCAGTCAACTGGAGCACCAATGATACACAAACACGTGACGCGTCTCTCTCACATCCAACCAATCACAATCTCCTAAACTTGCCGCTCTCTTTAAGCTGCCAGGTCTGCTGCCTCTGCCTCGCTCATGCTGATGCGTTCACGTTGTTTAGAGTCGGAGAGGTCCTGATAATTTATTCCGGTAAATTACTCTGACCTACTAATTGACCTGACCGAAGTTATTGAATCTATGTAAGGTTGCTGCTTGGCTCAGATCCACCAACGTCAGCAAGATCTCACCTCTATAACCCCCCGAAGAACCAGGTTCAATTAACTGCTGTTTCAATTCAGACAACTCTTTTTTAATCTGTTTAATCCTGTCCCGAAGGATTTTGATATCAGTAAATGGAGTGTGCTCCTACCTAAGTGTGAGTGGCAGGGTGCAATCTTACCTTTGAAGCAGGAAGGAGGGCACAGGTGTCTTTTAAATTATCCCAATCCAAAAGGTGGGATTCAGTTTATTTGAAGAAAAATAGGTCCAAACTAATACAGGGTTTTTACCTTCTCTCTTTACAACATTATAATCATACTAAAAAAACCGTGCTGTGATCATGTTCAAATGAAACTTTAATTCACAGTCTTACATTTATTACCAAAATGTTTTAATTTCAACTGCCCAATTCAGTTGTGACATTTTAAAATTCTCCCGATAGAATTTAGAGGTATTTCCTCGTAAAAAGACCGGTGACAATAAAAAGCGCATTCAACTTTCCATTCACCCATTTATTCACATCAGTTTCATACCGTTTTTCCGACACAGACGGTGGGTATAACATTCAAAAACCCATACCTGTCCGCAAAAATTCGGAGGGAAGATTTTCCTCACAGATGGCGGGTTATAATATTCACAAACACATCTCTCATCAAATCATTCCACTCAGCCAACAACCAAGAAATTCGAGAGATATTTACCCCGTCTGGGAGGACCTTACCGAGAGCTAGTTACCCAGCTCTGAAGGACACAGCCTACCGGGAGAGAGTCTACCAGGGGAAACCCCCCTCTCTCTCGCGCTCTCTCAAAAACC